GTTAGGTATGAGAATCGAGTGAAAAGCATAACTGCTTCCAGTCGCACAGTAGCGTTGTACTGAATACTATTCAGTGAGTAGTCAGCAGCTGCGTTTATCATCCCGATGTTGAATATCCTCCTCGTCGTCCTATCGATACGTGGCGTGGTTTGGGCTTCAAAATGGGCAACGTTCGCATACAGATGAAGTCGACGCATTTCTGCAACCTCGCCCTGAGGGACATCAAGGGGAACGCAGTGTCATGTCACACCTCCAAGGCTATGGAGACTAAAGGGCTGGTCCTACCTGGTATGGATGATAACAAGTCGTTCACCGTTCATCGAGACATCTTCGTCGTCAAGGACGGTCAAGCGGTAGTTCAAGCAGCGCCAAATCACCCGTATCTGTATATCCTCATGAGCCAGAACGACACTCACTTCAGCACCTCTCAACTCTTCGATAAACAGTCCTTCCCCGTAGAGGAGGGAACCAGGCGAAAGAATGATACGCCCAATTCTCGCAGGCTCAATGCCAATCTTACGCTTGAGGATGATGGTTGGGTCTATAAAGGTTTGGTAGATGAAGGTGGACAGAAGCTGAACAAATGGGTCACAAGTGGAGTAGAAGGTGTCGATCCCAAATCGGGTCTCAACTTCACTGCCCTCGCTCAGACTGGTGTGATCACTAACGCTTGGGTTCTCTATCTTGACAAGGATCACAAACAGATTGTGAAGCTCTTGGGAATTAACACCTTCGAGAATGATACAGTCTATCTCGAGTCCAACGTCACCCATTGGGAAGAGCTCGACGAGGCATTAACTTTGGACGTTGCCATGAAGGATATTTACCAGGCGTATGATATCTTCCAGAGCCACAACCGGGCACCAGCGAAGGATGAGGCTCCGGAACTGGACGCTGACTTCGTCAGGACTCGTTTGGTTAGCGAAGAGGCTCGTCTATTCTTCAACGATGGGAAGAGCCACGACTGGAGGCCGAACAAGACACACATTCGTGGAGATAAGTCGGGAGCACCGATCGATTACTTCCGCCTCCCCAATGGCACTGCTGCACATAAGTTCTTCTTGTACAAGCATCACTCTCCTGTACAAGGGCAGGAGGAATTCGAATTACCACCGGCTTGCAGGAGCGGTGTGGTTAAGTCGGTCAGTCCATACTGCCTGTATGTTGGTTACGCCTCTAACGACACGCTTTTGGCCCTCGACCTATATATGGCTTATAAAGATGTAGCCATCGAGGAAAATGAAGCATACCTCAATGTCACAGTCCATTTGAAGCAGCCGGAGACGGAGGTCCTACACTTTGCTTTCGAAGCCGCTGGATGCGCCCTGGTTTGGGCTACTGATGTTGGGTTCGCAGGCTTGCGCATTCAAGTATGTCTTTTGGGTGCAGGAAGCGGTGGGAATGGCACTTACGGGGGAAAAATAGCAATGTCGGTCTCGGTCATAATCGATATTGCTTTCTTTCCTGCATTGAAAGTCACACTCCATGGCCAAGTTGCGGTCAATGCTTCGGACAATGGTGATGTCAAAGCATATGGTGAACTGGGCATTGATTACTCGGCGTTAGGTGTCGGAGCCGGTATTTCTGTGGACATCTTCGGAAACACCGTTGATCATAAATCGGATGTCTGGGAATTCAAATCCCACTTCAACCTCCACGTATGGGTCTCTGTTCTCTTCTACAAACATGACTGGCCATGGAGTTGGACTATTTGGGAAGCTGGTCCAGTTGAATTGCGATAAGTCGGCAAACCCGTGTTGACGGTATATCGGGGGCATAGTTTCAGTCCCATGTGAAAGCAGCATGATTATCTCATATAATAAAATATTACGCCTTTATCATGTCTTGAACTTTTCAAAAATAACTGAGCATACGTAGGCTCGTGGAGTGGCGGTCATCAGCAGATGAGTGGCGCATCACGAGCCAAATCTGATTCCACTTTCGTTGTTCTAGCTGATGCGCTACGCTGCCAGCGGATGATCCGCTACGATCCCGTAGCTTAGCGCTCAGGAATCTCATTTAAGAAGTTAATCGACTCTTTTCAGATTGCTCTGTCGTGTTTTGACCAGTAAAGAGTGTCACATAACTAACCACATCATATGGCCCGGGCTGGTCACCTATGTGGGAACTTGACGACAAGGTGTAGCACACCTTGTCGGAAATGGTTCATTTCAAATGAACCATGTCGGAGGTGTTGCGAAGTAGTACTTCGCAACATGTCCGACATGGTTCCATCTCCTTCACAGTGACCTGATGAAGGTTGTCTGGCCGCGATAGAGAATTATGTATGGCTGAGCCGAGCCTGACCTGCCAGGGGAGATTCATCAGAGAGAGATGGCCAGCTTGACGGTCTTTGGAACCGATTGCGGCTTGCGGCGGGAGCTCTGGCGTGCTAGAATCGCGGATATTCTCAGTTGGGCGAGACGGTATCGTCTTCAACGTCCTGAGAACCACCAAGTTCGTCGCAAATGTCTTTTCCTGGCCTCTTCTGCATCTTTCACGGTGGACCTCAGGACAAGTCAATAGGTGACGAACGGAAACAATACGAGAGGCAATACGTATCCCCTATTCCCTTGATGGAGAACGGCCCAGGACTTGGAACACAAAGGCCCTTTGGCGCAAGAAGAATCAAACTACGAACGGGTGTTTAGTTTATATTCAGTAGTCGACAGGTCAATCTCATCAATATATCCGTTGTCAAAAGCAATAGTAACAATATTGGGCGAGCGGGACCTCACGATGGCTCCAGAGAACCATTGTCGCTTACGCAACACGATATAGGCCACGGATATGCGTTGACCAATGGCAGCGCCATCACCTCGTCCGAGAAACCTAGTACCGGTGTGGTACCTGATCGGTGCACTGCGTTGGCACCATGCTAGCCCGACTTGTCAGATTGTGGTACGCTATTGTGAGACTCGTCATTAGTGCTGGCTAGTTCTTGTCGGTGTTGTCCTCGCCACCATCGGCCGTATTGTTCCCGATGGTTGCGCACTGTCAGCTGTGTCGTGTCCACGAGTGTTGGTTGAGTTGCTCAGAGTACTTCAGTTGGTTGCGCTGTCGCGCGTTACTTAGACTTATCAGGGGGGAATCATTCTCTCAGAGAACCATTGTCGCTTACGCAACACGATATAGGCTACGGATATGCGGTGGCCAATGGCAGCGCCATCACCTCGTCCGAGAAACCTAGTAAGAAGAGACTACCGTTATGAATAGCGAAGGCAGTTCGTAGTACTCTAGTAGTAATAAGGTGTCGATTCCAATGAACTATGCTGTAACATCATCGTTGCTAAGAAAGAATTCAGTCAAAAAGCCTCTCCTCTGAACGATCGGAGCCTCCGCTTCGGAGGTAGTAGTGGGGAGTCCCCCGGGGACTGTCCCCGTCAAGTTGACGGATCAACGCCCACATCGCGGACGCTTCGCAGGTTCTCCAGTGATTTGTCCGGGGTAATTCGCGGTGTGTTTCTAATTCCCTTCTTGGATATCGCGTTTCTTGCATAGAGCATTACTTCTTATGAAGCGTAGAACGGGCGGGTGAAACTCCAATGATGGAGAGGGGTATCCATCGAATTATCAATAATTAATACCCTCAACTGATTTTGAACACTACCCTCTAAGGTAGAACGAGACTCGGACTTTTATGGGTTCGCTAATGCCAATAATTCAATTGCTGGCATAGAACTCGTAGATCCACAGAATTGTAGAACCAGACTCCGGAACTTAACCGCCAGTACATCAATCGCAAATCAAGATGAAAATATCAAGATGAAAATATCAAGATAAAAATACCAAGATGAGAATAATACACAGAAGCATAGGAGTAGTATAACAGATGTCCAGATCAACTGTAGACCAGAACTGTTAGAATGTTGATGATCCACCTCGTCCAGAACCCTACTCTTCAAGAGAATATTCGTTAAGTATTCTTAGAAAGGGGACAAAAAGACAACTGCGGCTCACGGTGAGCTGCTCACCAAGACCATTCACATGGTGCGAATCTTCCACAACTTGTGGCTTATGCTTTTAGGGGCATGAACAGTGGCCGAAACATTGACAGGGCCCCCAGCAAGACCAGCAAGGATCATTGAGGACCCTCAAAACTGAGGAAGGCCTATTCTCCGATTTGTCAGCCGAGTCGTCACCAACAATGATGTGGCCGAACGCCATGATGAAGTACAGGATGCAGAAGAGTTTCATTTTTATTATATTCGTGAAGACGAGAACGCTGAAACTCGACTTTCACCGTGAAAGTTTCACGCTGTTGACACAATTTCACAGCACCTTCCGAGATCTGTACGTATAAAGTCAGAAGCGTTACGAAGACACGTAACAAGCTAGCTTGAAGTTTGTAACTTACTCTGGGAACCTTCAGAGGTAGAATGGCGGAGTATTCCTTCGGAAGTAATGAATGTGAATGCAGGGTGGTTCGGTTCTGGGATCGAATATCCCCCAGGAGGGAGAACAACTCTTTCTTGGGGGATATCCAAAAACCCTGAGGTGATATAGTGAAGTGCGAATTCACTTCTTCACGGAAGTGGAGCAATCCTCTCGCAATTACTGCGTGCTTGCACACGTGAGCGTTATACGTCCCGTGGTGGT